CCCCAAAACCCCAAAACCCCAAAACCCCAAAACCCCTTGGATGGCTAGATGAGTTGAATATAATGTTTTTGACAATAGATTTAGTCTCTAGCTGCCTTTCTGGCTCTTGCTCTCTTGTTATCTCTGTCGACTTGTCTATAAAGAAACGGTTAAGCAAGGAGTAGGAAGGTACATACCTTTTTCTAACAAGGACATCGTCATTGACAACTCCGTTCTTAATTTCGTCTTTCTTTTTGAGTATCTTGAGGAACTTAAGACTTCTTTCCTTCTCCTCATTAGTGGAGAGGTTTACATTAAGCTTCTTCTTTCTCTTAACATTCTTCTCATTCTTTGTAGCCTTTTTGTCATAAATACCCATGGAGGCTGTTGAAATTTGAGCATTTTTGAGAGTGTTCTCAATAAGTTGTCTATCTGCTCTCTTGCCTTTGCTCTTCTTGTCCCTCTTCTTGTCTTTAGGATTGGATTTCTTATTCTTGGGGGTCTCAATATCGTACAGACTCTTTTTCTCTCTGAGAAGTTTCATGTTGATACCAGCTGCTCTCATCTGATTCTTGATGGCTTTGGATTTTTCCTTTTCAAGCATAATTTTCTTCTCAAGAGACCTTGTCTCGAATGGATTGATGTGTTCCTCTCCTGGCTTGGCTTCGATGATGGCTGTTCTGGCTTCTTCTAGCTTTTTGATGGATTTATGTCCAAATCTTCTGTACCATTTCTTAGAAATAGGGTCGTATACTTTAGTGTCTCTCCTTTTTCTGGGAGCGATACCTTTTTCCTTCCTGAATTTCTCCCATTTGGTCTCTGGCTTTGGAGCAGCAGGTGGGACTAATCTAGGGATCCTCTCTTCAATGGGTGGAAGGTCTATGGTGTAGAAGGGTCTATCAAACTCAAGCACATTCTTCTCAGGTTGGAGTTTTCTGTGGTCAAACATAACCTGATAGAATTTATTCGCATTCTCTTTGGTCTTGGCTAAAAGCTCCTTCTCGGTCATGTTCTCTAAGGATGAAGAGTCATGGTAGACGAGAGCTCCTAGGTCGTAACTCTTGTTCGTGATTTTCACTACTTCCATTTGATAGTGTTTATCAATATTTTATTGATTATCGGGGTTTTGGGGTTTTGGGGTTTTGGGGTTTTGGGGTTTTGGGGTTTTGGGG